TTTAGGTCCACTTGAAAGAATTCACAATAATGGGTCTTCTAGTCAATGAACAGATTATGTCTTCATATGTATTTGTGTCATTTTTAAATCTCCTTTATTTTGTTCATAGTCCAATTGTGCTAGGGCAGTGGGATAGGTTGCCCAGAGACCCAAGAAAGTACTCAGGGACAGTGTGCAAGACACAGGTTTATTGGAAAATGTTTACAAAAGGTCCAGTGATGACAGGCTGAACAGGTAAGATTTCTGTCCCTCACTATGCTCCACCAAGTAATACTTCCATCCCTCGTGACATTACTCCACAAAGTCGAGTGGGAACACACTAGAAAATGTCACCTCATCCCTCAGGGTGCTTCACCAGATAAATAGCATCTCTCCCCAGTGGCAGTAGATTGAATGGGTGCCACTTACCCTCTCTATGGTTCCCTCCATTCCAGAGCAGTTACCACAGAAAGAGGGGTTTCATAAATCAGGCTACAGAATCAGTGACATCACTAGCTTAACTTGCTTTGTCTCATTGTATACCCAACAGTCCAAAGAATTTGGGGCACATGCAAGAAAATAGCTCCCTAGCAGACAACATTAACTTGCCCTAATTTCCTGCATACATGAAAGAAAGTCAGTGTCCTTCAAGATCATATTTATCTAGACATTCTGCCCCAGACTCACTCTCTTGTTCCCTTGACTTATCCAGATTTTGGGGGTCATAGAGTGGTATTTCAGGGACATGGTGTTTTACTGTCTTCTTTTCTCCAGGGATGACACACTTTCATTAGTATTTTGGTAAGACACTAATTGTAACCCTCACTGTATAAATAATAAATGACTTAAATGAATGTCACACCTTGCAGGGGAAGCCAGTATTCTGAACACAATTCCATTTTCTCCAAAGCCATAATTCTTTCCACTAAACCACACTGCCTCACAAATAGATTTTTTTCCCCAAAAATTTTATATAGCTCATTGAAATAATATATGTCTTCCCCCTTTAGCTGTCTTCTTTTTAAATATTAGGATGAAGATTAAAGTAGAAAAATGCTTATAGTATGTTGTTAAGTAAAAAATGAAATATACAAAGCTGGATTTATAATATGACAATTGCATAAAGCTATATATATAGGAAAATATTTTAAAATATACTAAAAGGTTTACAATGATTCTGAGTTATAGACTCATACTGTGACCTGTTTAGAAAAAGTGGTACAGACATATTTGATACATTCTTGAGAGGTTGCATGTGAATTAAATACTTTTTCCCATATACTAGGTAAGGTATACAATCAAAAGAAATTTGCACAAAGACGTCATGGGAAAACATATATCCTGTACTAAAGCCAGGAGCAAACACTGAAATAACCTTTCTGCGAGGTGGTTGGTCTGAAACAAAATGTAAACACTTCTTGATTCAGAGTGCAGAGTGCTCACCATTATACCATGGAACTGCCAAAATGTAAACACTTCTAAACCCCGAAATCCCACTTCCGTGTACCTATGCCAAAGGATGATTACTTGCATAAAGAAATAAGTTCATAAAGGATAATCATCTTAGCACTCTTTATTAGGGTGTGGAGAGTACAAACCACCTATTAGTTAGAAACAGTTAAGCATATTCTGGGATATTTAATAGAATTCTAAATGACCATCAAAAGTGACTGAGAGGAGCTTGGAAGCCATTGCCACAAGAAGCCAGAGTATTCTGCTGGGAAGATGAGCAGGCCACAGAACAGTGAATGAGCACATCACTGCATCACAGCAACACAGAATTTCAGGACTGATCCGCCTGGCAGGACAGTGCTCACCACAGCCTTACTCCTAATGGTTATTGACTTTTACAATGTTTTATTGAGATGAAATTCACACATGATAAATTTCATGTATTTTCTCCAACTGTATTTTAAAAAAAAAAAAACTTTTTTAGTATTTATTTTTTAGTTGTAGTTGGACACAATACCTTTATTTTTATTTATTTATTTTTATGTGGTGCTGAAGATAGAACCCAGGGCCTCGCACGTGCTAGGCAAGCATTCTACTGCTGAGCCACAACCCCAGCCCCCATGCAGCTGTATTCTTTTTAAGATTTTCCCCAAACACACTATATTGGGTCCTTGTATTTCTATTGGGTGCACTTGTCGATTTCTGAAAGAAAGAAAAAAAGCAGCTAAGATTTTAAAATTATGGGGACTGTGATGAATCTATAGATCAAATTTGGAGAGCACTTGCATCTTAACAATTTTAAATCTTCCATCCATGAATCCAAGATGGCTTGTCTTTCACTTAGGTCTTCCTAAATTTCTTTTTATTTTTTAATATAATTTAACAATTATAAGTGTGTAAGTTTGGGAGGTACAAAGTGATGTTATGATGTATAAATACGATGTGGAATAATTAATTCGACTAGTAAACATATTCATCACCTCAAATACTTAACCTATTTTGTTGTGAGAACACTTGAAATTTATTCAGCAATTAAAAAAATCTAAGATAGTGTCATGTCCCGAGACTAAACCGATCAGGGTCATTCCAAGTGAATTTGGGGACTAAATAAAGACACAGACACAGAAAGTACTTTTTTCTTTGGGTTCAGTGACTGCTCCTCAGCCACAGCTCCCACAGGGCAGGCAAGGCAGGCAAGAAAGAGAGGAACCAAGTGCTGAACGCTTTTATTTCTTATTTCAGAGAAGCCATTCAAATGAGGCAAGGAGTCAGGTTTCAGGGGGTTGTCTAGCTTTCTCATGATTTGCTGTCAGCATGTTGACTGACATCTAGGAAGGCCACATCCATCTCGTGTGCTGGGTGAGGATCCTAGGCAGAGGGAGCGAAAAGAGGCTTACATTGCCTACCCAGAGGGGAAATATCGGTTCAGTCCACCCTGTGTGCTCAATGCTCATAGTCACACACACAGCCCGTGGCTGGCTTGCCACATCTCCACACTCTCTTGGCTCAAAGCTAAGGGCAGCTGGATTCCCACTGGCAAGCTCCCAACAAGATAGCATATTATTAGCTATATTCATTATGCTAAGCATTAGAACTTCTCCTAAGATTTTTGTGTCCTTTGACCATCATCCCTCATTCTCCACTGTGACCATCTTTCTACTTTCTGCTTCTATGAACCTAATTGTTTTAGATTCCATATGTAAATGAGACTATGCAGTATATATTTTTTTTGCCTAACATTTCATTTCGTAGAATGTTCACAGATTCCATCCTTGTTTTTACAAATTAATTATTTCCTTCCTTTTTAAGAATAAATAATATTCCATTCTCTCTGTGTGTGTACACCATATTTTATTTTTTTATTTAGCCATTCATCTGTCGATGGACACTTAGGTTGATTCCATAATCTGCCTCTTGTAAGTAGTGCTGCATTAAGCATGGGAGTGTGGACATTCCTTCACCAAACGGACTTCAAATTTTGGGGGTTAAAACTCAGAAGTCAGATTGCTGGATCATATGGTATTTAATTTATTTTTTAAATGTTTTATAATTTTGGGTGTACATACATTGTATTTCTTTTGTTAAGTTTGTTCCTAAGCATTTTCTTATTTTTTGATGCTATTGTAACTGAAATTATTCTCTTCACTTCATTTTTGTTTGTGTATATTTGTGTCAATGAGGATTGAACCAGTGGTTGGGAATGGGGCTCTACCACTGAGCTAGAGAAATCACAAAGCCATTATGCTGTGTGAAAATCTATCTCAAAACATTATAAACTATATTATTCCATTCATATGATATGTAAAATACAAACTGGTTGTCATTTGTCAAAGATGTCAGAAATATTGCCATGTGCAGTGACACACACCTGTACCCAATATTCCACTTTCAACAATATATAGGACAATGAGATGGAAACCAAACAAATAGAAGACTTGAGAAATATTTTTAGAACATTCCACACAACCACAGCAGAATACACATTCGTCTTGAGAATGCACAAGGAACAATAGGCTATACAGGTCTCAATAAATTTAAAAGCACCAAAGGAATGAACAAAGGGGAAAAAAAAAGAAAAAAGACTTATAAGGGAATACTGTTTCCAAACATATTCAGTAACCTAACTGAAATGAATAAATTTCTAGAATGACAAAAACTACTCAAATCACTCAAGTAGTAGAATAGAAATAATTTGAATGTTCGGCATAAACAAAATGTGATAATGAGATAATATTCAGCCATGAAAAAGAATAAAGTGCTAATATATGCTACACCATCAATGAACCTTGAAAACATTATGCTAAGTAAAAATGGCCAGATAGCATATTGCATAATTCTATTTTAATTAAATGTCAATAATAGGCAAATCCATAGAGACAGAAAGATGATTTGTGGATGCTCAGGTATCGGGGAAAGAATAAAATGGGAAATGTCTGTTAATGAGCACAGGGTTTCTTTTGGAAACGATGGAAATATTCTGAAATTAGATAATGGTGATGGCTGCCCAACTCTGTGAATAAACCAAAGAGCACTGAATTACACATATTAAAAGTACAAATTTTATAGTCTTTGAATTTTATTTCAACTTTTACAAAGGACAATTAGAAAAATTGGAACATGAGTTGTATAGTAGATGGTAATATTGTATCAAAGTTAATTTTCATGAGTTTGATACTGTATTGATAAGAGAATGTTCTTACTTTTAGGAGTTACATGTTGACATTTAGGGGTAAGAATTCATAATGTCTATAACGAATTCTCAAATGATTCAACAAATATAATAACAACAAAATGGAATGAACATTTGAGGCAACTATTTGTAAAATATTAACTGATGATTCTAGATGAAGGATATATGAAATTTCATTGCTCCATACTTACAAGTTGCGACACGATTTTAAGTTTGAAATTTTTCAAAATAAAGTATTTTTAAAAGGAAAGATATGGGAAAATCAGAAAGGGCTAAGCAATATTGCACACTTACGTAAAAGTCCCATGGAAATGCAATATCAGGGCAGTACCCCATGTGTATTTACATTTGTAAATGACAGAAACCCATTTCCAACTGGTTTATCCCAAAAGGACATTTATTAGCTTAAAGGATTATAAAGTCCAGCAATGAGTCCAGTCAGTCAGGCATTGCTCTATCCACATGTTTAAATGGTATCCTCAGAATGTCTTGCTTTCTTTCTCTGTATTCTCTGCTTTCCTCCATATTCATCCCAGGATCAAGCAGTTTTGCCATTTCTGGTGAAAAGAAGATAGCATGTCCAGGCTTATATTCTATCCTGCCAGCAACTCCATTAAAATAAGTCAATAAAATCATGATTTGTTTAACAACTCCAAACAAATGTTTCATTGACTTTGGTCTTATATTTACAGAAGGAAAGGAAAGCAAAGTTCCTTGTTTTTCAAGAGACAAAGTCAAGTAAAACAGAATCACATTCCATTAAAGTGGGTCTCCCTTCCGTTCCCATTACCCAGTTAATCAGTTTTCCCTAGAGACAGCATTGCTGCCATATTTTTTTAAACTTTGTTTATTTATTTTTATGTGGTACTGAGAATAGAACCCAGTGCCTCACATGTTCGAGGCAACACTTTGCCACTGAGCCACAATCTGAGGATTTGACAATCCTCCAGAGAAATCCTTCTACTATAGAAACACAAATGTATGAGTGCACATACTCAGAGATGGTAACATAGTGTACATACTGTTGTGTACCTTACTTTTTTTCTTGAAACATAAATCCTGGGAGTTGTGTCATGACAAAACATGTAGAAATGTATATCTCCCTTATTTTTTAACGGAGGCATAGGATTGCAAAACATGAATATACTGTAAAAATCTTTTTCATTTCATTCAACAAATTCTCATAACAGATACTTGGAAATTTAACGTATTATTTATGAAGCATTTGGATTATTTTTCTCCAAAATCATGTAATTGCCCATTATTTTGCCCTCCCCAAACTATATTATAGACTCTTCCTACAATTTATCCCTATATGATTTGAGACTGTTCCACTCAGAAAAATTTGTGAGTCCTGCAAATGTATAGATGTTAATACCAATTCACTTGTACCAATCATTTGTGAATGTGTTCAGTGCTTTCAGACTCATCTAAACATGGAAAGTTGGTTTTACCATGTTTATTCCCCAATTAATATTTTTTATTCTCATTTCATAATGAAGGCAGAATATACTGTTACTTTATGTTTGAATTAAAATGACACACATTTGAAGTAGTGTCACTAGTTATTACTTAAAATATTAGTAAAGTCTCACTATGTGTAGAAAACAGAAGTAATGCAACTCCAACCCCACCCCACCCCAAAGAAAGAGATCTTTCAAAAATTGCATATTTTTAAAATTCACAAGCCAGGTGAATTGTATACTGTGCTTACATAGTTATCCAATAAGGACATCCTTCAGCTGATAAAAATTATTGTTGCTATTATTTGTATGCACTCTCAAGAGAGTGGGCCATCTCTAAGCAGAGAACGACAAAGGAGACAATGCTGTCTCCAAATTTATTACTATTTATTGTTACCAGGAGAACTGAGGACCACCTTCTGCACTCTTTGCCAATCAGGTGTTCATCTCCTCCTTCACATTGGGAAAGAAAAATGAGATGACGTATCCACACAGACTGCACAAAAATGTTCACAGCAGTATTACTGGGCAGTGAGGGTGGGGGTAGTTTCTGAGCTAAATTGGTCCTTTCTGTCTGTTGTAGGTAGACTCTTTAGGTTCTTTTTTTTGACCATCAATATAGTTTGCTAATGTTGAGAAGGGGTGTGTGTGTGTGTGTGTGTGTGTGTGTGTGTGTGTGTGTA